GCTGATGAAACGGATGTCTTGTTCTCTCTTAGGGAACTAAGAAAATCATACAAATCCAGTTCTGGGTCAGCACCGGGATCTGATGGGATCTCTCACCCCATCATTTCGCATCTAGGCCTTGCATGAGAACTTGCATTCTTGCAGGTTATCAACAAATCCTGGCAAACAGCCACGGTGCCCCAGAGCTGGAAACAAGCCACAATAGTTCCCATCCCAAAACCAAAGGAGCCTGGCAAGTACCGTCCCATCTCTCTTCTCAGCTGCTTGGGTAAAACAGCTGAGAAGATGGTACTCAACAGGCTCCGATGGAAAACGGGTCCCCCTCATGAACACCTGCACGGGTTCACAAGGGGTAAGAGCACTGCTCATAGCATTTCCACACTCTTAAGCACAATCTGCACCTCGCCCGCCGTGGTTGTCTTCCTTGACCTGGAGAAGGCTTTTAAACTGGCAAGTCCGCTTGCCATTCAAGAGATCCTAATCCACAAAGGAGTCAAAGGCAGACTCTTGGCCTGGATAGCTGACTATTTTAAAAATAGATCAGCAAATGTCAGATTTCAAGGCCACCTCTCACAGCACATGCCACTTGAAAATGGAACTCCTCAGGGAGGCGTTCTTATTCCAGCCCTGTTTAATACTCTCATGTCCAACATACTCAACATTCACCTGCCAGAGGGATGCAAGATCATCTCTTATGCAGATGACTTGGCAATCATAGCCTCTGGCAATCACTGCCTTACTAGAGCTCAGCGTTGTCTGAACCTGGTGTCTGGAGAGTGTTGTAGGACGGGTCTAAAAATATCAGCAGCAAAATCCAAAGCAATGGCTCTGAGAACCAATGTCAGAAACAAAAAAACTCACTATACAGGGTATGGATCTGGAATGGGTGAAGGACTATCTATACCTTGGTGTATGGATAGGACACCACTCACTTTCAAAAAGGATCCAATACCTGCTTGAGAACCAAGGAAGACTGTCAGTCATGAAAGTCATGACAGGGAGACACATAGGAGCAGGACACAAAGTACTAAGATCATTCTATGTACATGCTGTCCGTCCTATTATTGACTATGCATCTGTCGCCCTCATTGCTTCCAGCACAACATTAAAAGAAAAACTGGAAACAATACAAAACGAAGCAGCCAGGATAATTCTAGGTGCACCAAAGTGGACAAAGGTCATCAACCTCCTCATAGAAGCTGATTTACCGTCCATGGACACTAGCATTGACCTAATGGCAGCACAGTTCCTTTCCAAGGTCCTGCAGGCACCCACAAACCCATTGAGAACAATTCCTGGCTCACACATACAGCCAGAGTTTTGATACGCTTTCAGCTAAAAGATTCATTGCTTGCCAAGGGTATGGACTCCCCTCACCCTGATTACAAAGAACCCCCGCCGTGGGCAAATGAAATTATCGAATTCTCAATTCTAAATCTCACAATGAGAAAAGATCAATATTCCATGCCTAGCCCCAAAGGCACAAGCACAAAGGGTCATTGAACAAATAACTCCGCCAGGTAGTATAACTTACTACACGGATGGATCCGTGGATCCAATAAACCATACTGCAGGCGCCGGCTTTGCAACAAAGGATACCACAGCATCCATTAAGGTCACTGACAATGCCTAAACGCTTCAGGCTGAAACGGTTGCGATCATGGAAGCATTGACACACGCGTCCCTGAGGGGAGGGCACGTTGTCATTCATACAGATTCAAGAGCAACTATTGACAGCTTACAGCATAGCATGCCCCCAGATAACATCTACCTCTTGACATCAGTACTAAACATAGCCCAAAGAATCCTTAGTCAAGGTAGAAGAATCATCATAAACTGGGTCCCAAGCCACATAGGCATACAAGGGAACGAGCTTGCTGATAAACTAGCTGAAAAGGGCAGGGGTATGCCCCCATCCTCCATGATCGTTAAACCCAGCTGAAGGGGACTGAGCCAAGGTACCAAAGCTGCAGCGTGTGCGGTCCTCCGGGGAGCACATAGAGAGAACATCACAAAATCGCTCGCTGCCAAGTGGTACTCAGATGATTCAGGCTATGAGCCACTGGCCCTTCCTCCAAAATACAAAAAGAGGTACCGAAGTCATACTATTCAGACTAAGACTAGGTTACCAATGCGCTTGGCAAATTATTGACAATGAGACTGCGAGGTTATGCAAACACTGTGGCGAGCCTAACGCCACCCTGTTACATTACTTGCAGAATTGTGTACAAACAATTTCTGAGGCCGGGACCACCCACCACAGCCGCCGGGTTGGTAAAAAGGGTGTGCAACATGCTTTCTCCATGGCATCTGGATTGCTTGCTTGCAATCCAGCCACCACGATAAGCATGCAGTTCAAAGAAAACATCTGAGTTAACTAGAATTAGTTAACACAGGCCGGGCCACTCCAGAGAAAAGGCCTGGGCGAAGCATGACTTCGCAAATCTAACTGAACTGAACTGAACTGCCGAGTTCATCACTCACGATCCTCCAGCCGAGCAAGACACAGCAAGCAGCAACAAGGCCTAACCAGGCCTTAGCCGACGGGTGAGCCGCCCCGGCTCTCACCGGCGATCTCCAGCACACCAGCCATCCCTGTGGGCACTCACACCCACACCCAAAACCTCCTTAAAGAGATGATTGACACCAGTCTATGGCGGATGCAAATCCATTGCCATATTATAATCAATGGCAGTACCAGCTATATTTTAAACACTGAATCCAAGGAGTTCGACAAATTATCAGAATATAGAGTTCTCGCAAAAGAAATCCACCGATTAGGGGATCTTAAACTAAAAACCGCATCGGTGGACAAAGGAGCAGTCGGAATGATCAGGAACGGATTGAAAATATGTTGATAAAATTGCTCTGACGTTAACTAAGTTTCTGTCGATGTCAATATATATTAATCAAGGAAAAAAAACAATAAGGCGTCACATCACAGTGAGCAATGACACCCGGCTATCATAAAGTAAATCAGAACATTGACAGAAAAGAGAAACTTTGGTTCAGGTAGCAGACTCCCTCTGGAGGTGGGTCGGTAGGTAGAGAATATGTTAATTTTATTTTATTTTTTATTATTATTTTGAGAAATTTTGCAGTGCCGTCGGTAATCTGCTAGTGCCAATAGACGTGATGAAGCCCCGAGGTTAGCTCAGTGTGCCGTTGTGGCATTTGGGGTGTGTTTTTGGCGGCATTATTGAAAACGTTGGGTTTAGATCTGTGGTAGACAGGAATTTAACAGTAAAATATTTTTGAGTCAGTGGTTGGTCGGGTTACCTGAACCAATTTTTTTTTTTTTTTATCGATTTTTTATTTATTCATTTATTTTATATTTTTCTGCTTACTTCAAATGAATAAGAATAGGGATGGTGATGATGAGGATCAGGATGATGATGATGACAGTGGCGGAGATATAAGGGGACGGTTGTCCACCTTTTCAAGTAGAGTCAGTTTTGTCGGAAATCTTCAATCCTTGTCGGAAAAAAATGTGACTGCAATCTGTTTTCATGTGATGTGGTTCTTCATTTTTAGCAGATTTAAATGAAAAGTCGCTCAGTTCTCTACATTTTCAAATGCTTCATCTCTATTCATTCGAAAAAGCCAAATTTTTCATTACATTCCTGTATGAGTCCAGAATTCCACTGGCCTAAACTTGAGTAAAACATATGGATTGATTCAGCTCGAATAACGATAATGATAGTTATGATAATTGCAACAATAATGATAGTGATAATAATTATCATAAAAATAATGGTAATAA